GGTCTAGGGTTTACAGCCCCTTCCAAAGGCACTCCCAGAAAACAGCTACATGGGGGGCAGGCCCTAGCCAGAGGCACACCTAGATACCATCCCAAGTGTGCACATGCCCCATCCAGAAGCCCACCAAACAACAGATCAGCTCAGGGATCCAGAATGCAACCATTCTGAACCCAGGAATTGATTCATTGGTGAGCAGCAGAGAAAAGGCCACTTGGTGGCTTACTGAGAATTGAAGACCACTGGATGGGCAAAAAGTTGCCTCAACAAAGGCACAGCACGATGCATCTGTTGAAATGAGAAGATGTGTAAATAAGTCTCAAAATCAAACTTCCAGTCACCTAAGGCAACCCCACAGGGCAACAAGATGGAACAAACTGGTACTCAACCACCTGGACTCCCTGAGCTGGTAATGAAAGAGGATCTGGAACAAATTAAATCTGAAATAATTTCTCAGATAATAGTAGAGATTGTGCCCACTGTGCAAGACATGATTAATAAATCTAAAGCAGACACAGATTAAAAAAATTAGAGGAGCTGAGGAACATGATGGAATCCCAACATAGGAAACAAATGGAATCCATAAAACAGATGCAAACAGATTTCCAGGAGATTAAAAACTCCATTGAAAGTTTACACAGCAGAATGAGCCAATGTGAGGATAGAATTTCAGATATAGAAGATAGGATTGCAATTATCGACTAAGAAAAAATTTTCTTAAAAATGGCAAGGGACCATGATAAATCAATCCAGCAGCTGCTAGACAATGCAAAGAAGAATAACATAAGTCTAATCAGAGTCAATGAAGAAACAGGAGAGAGTGCAGACAGCATAAAAAAACTATTCAACAAAGTAATGACAGAAAACTTCCCAAGGAGGGGAAAAGAACTAGATAATACAGATAATTGAGGCATATAGGACTCCAACTAGCTGTGATCAAAAATAATCTACACATGGGTATATAATAGTTAAGATTCCAGAAACCCAACTGAAGAACAAAACTGTGCAGGCAGTTAGAGAAAAGAAGTAAGTCACATGCGAAGGAAAGCCCCTCAGAATCACAGCAGACTTCTCAACACAAACCTTCAAGTCAACAAGACACTGGAGTGAAGTATTTCAAGCCCTGAAAGAAAACAACCTTCAACCCAGACTGATGTACTCTGAAAAACTATCTTGGAATTTAGGATTTTTTGTTTGTTTGTTTGTTTTTTGCTTATAAAAAGTCTGGGGAAATAGTGCAATGTACAAATTAGAAGATGAAAACCATGTCCACTCTCTAAATATCACCTATCACCTTCTAAATACTCTCTAAATATCACCTTCTATGTCCTTTGTGTGTATCCCTTCTAGTGTCCATGTATCTATAAAATCCACATGAGAATATCTCACATTATGAAATATTTTTAGCACTCAATTTTATTGGTGGCACAGCATTATTCCACTATTACCATCATATAGTTAACAACTTCTCTAAACCAACATCTGTCTTGCAGTCCCTTTTGGGGGCATGTAAATCCCTCTAACAGGAATAGCTGTGTGCCCCCTCACCCTGTGTCTATGTTTTTATGAATTATAAACAACACTTCCGTGAACAGTGATGCTCATATAGATTTATGCACATGTCCAGCTCTTCTTGGCGTAAGGAGTACACAACATGAACACACTGGATTGACTTTTACCCTGGAAAGATTTTATTGACTTGCCCTTTAGCATGGTCTCTGAGGACATCCTCCCTCTGCACCCCAGCGACACTTGGAACTGTCATTTTGTAAAATGTTAATTTGGTAGGCAATAACAATAAAAATGGGATTTCTTTGATTAATAGCAAAGTTAAACTTTGTATTTATTTTTGTGAGGTGATGGGTTGTATTTTTTGTTGATTGTTTACCACAACTTCTTTAAAACTTTTTTCTATTTAGTTTATGAAAGGTGACAATGATGACTAATATTTATCAAGTCTTTAGTGTTGGGCTAAGCAGATTAAGAGAGGCAGGAACTAAATGCAGTGTGTTCCTCGCAGTACCAGTCTTGGTGAGTGCATCTCTCCTGAGCCACTGCAGGTGAGAGCACAGAGAAGCTCTTTGTCCTTCTGAGAGACACTGTCTCCTGTCCCAGCATCCAGCTTAGCTGTTCCTGCTATGCTGGGGATAGGGTTTGCTGCTTCTCCTCAGGTACACTTAGAGTTTCACTTTTAAGGATCCCCAACTGCCTATATGTTGGTCTTACCAGTGTGGTATCTTGGGAGGGGGTGGAACTTTTAAGAAGTGACACTCTGTGGGAGATCCTTAGGTCACTGGAAGTGAGCATTTGCAGGGGACCCCAATCCCTTTCTCTTCCTCTTCTACTTCCTGGCCACTAACTGAAGAGTTTGCTCCAACACCTGCTCCTCACCAGGGGCCTAAAAATAATGCCCCTTTCCCATCCCTGTCATGGACTGGAACCTCTAAAACTGTAAGCCAAAATAACCTTTTTCTCTTTGTAAATCGATTATCTTGGGTATTTTGTTATAGTGAAGGAAACATGTATATACAGTATCATCTCTCCAGATTCCTCCTAGGAATGACTTAAAATGTCTAGCAATCGAGGGCTTATTGCCATTCTCTTCTAATTTTCATTTTTAAAAAGATTCAAGAAGCCAAATGTGGTGGTGCACTCATGGAATCCTAGCCCTGGGATTTGGAAGAAGGAGGATCGGGAATTTGAGGCTAGCTTGGACTAAATAGTAAAATTTTGTCTTAGAAAAAAAAAAGAAAAGAAAAAGATTCAAGGATAAAGGAGAAATTTATTACATTTTAAAATATTCTTTGAGATAAAATTGAGTTTAAAATAACCAGAAAAGGTATTAACATTTTATGTAAATAAAATAAATGCACAAATCAGGCACCTTTTTAATTTTTGCCAGTTATTTTTTTTGAACCATATAACTTAGTGGAGAACATCTGAGTTACCTAAGCCTCTGTGTAGTCCTGTGAATGGACGTCACAGCGGTCATTTGTGCTAGGCTATGTGGCTGCTAGGGAACTGAAAGACAAAGCAAGTGTGGTTCAGGCAGCACTTAAGAGGAGCAGGCAAGGACCTGGGCCCCCTACAAAATCTGGTTCCTTTCATCAGATCATGTGATCCATGTGGAGGGGATTGAGCCTCAACTTCCGCTCATGCTTAGCCAGGGCCAGGAGCCTGACTCTGAAAGCAGTGAAGAGGAAACCAAATGACTGAAGAGTTTACACAGAACATGACTTCCACTTCCATAGTCAGTCTGCGTAGGTATTATTAGGTGCTTTTAAGTATAATTCTGAGCATTACAAGTCATGCACGTGGTTTCCAGAGCAAGAACCTGCTGACTTCCAGGCAGTGTGGCTACAGTGAAGATTAGCGCCTTCAGCAACCTTCTTGGAAGAAGGCATCTGAGGAGGGCAGGAGAGTCACAGCCAGGAGCTAGGAGCAGAATGGTCCACTCAGGGAAGCAGAAGTCAGGCAGCTCCTGGGCAGAGGGGTGAGCAATCTGTTGTCCAGCAGCCAGGCAGTTGCCAGGGCAGTTCTGCTGTGACAACCGGTAGGAATGTGAAGCCTGCGGTGAGTCCTGCGACCCTAGCAGGGGGAGATGGTGCAGGGCAGGGGCGTCCAGGTTGGAGCTGAGGCAGGAAGTAGAAGACAGTGGAGGATGTGGTGGTCAGGGACACTGAGCTTCTCTCCTGGGCCTCCCAGACACCATGGTAGCCTAAGAAGGGCTCTCGGGGGAACCTAAGAGGACTTAAAACTTGAGGCAGCCTGGAGGCAGCCATGAGCCACTTCGTTTACAATAGCCCTGGAGACAAACAAACCAGACAGTGTTTGGAGCTTGGTGAGCTTTGTTTATTTTGCAAAAGTAAATCTAGCAACAGAGAGCAGATTGCTTTACTCTTGCAATTGTTATGAAAATGATTCAGGAAAAAACAGATTTGCTACATTCTTAAGTACTCTTGGAGACTGTGGGGCTTTGGTCAGGATGGATCCCTATTTTCAGCCTCAGCTGCCCCATGAGTTGGGAATCTCTGGCCGGCGGTCTATGTTACCTGGCTCTCGGGTGGCTCACCACTCCTGAAGCTTTCCTTCCTACTTTCCCCATAGAATTGCATTGTAAGTTAGTTATCAATATCCACACCACCCATAGCTTACAATCTAAGACACCATCATTTCTTAGAGGAGAAACTTGGAAATGTAAGTCTTGGGAACACTGCGTATGTGAAGTGTAAGGGGACAGAAAAATCCAGAGAAATTTAATTTCTAGAGGTGAGGGTGCTCAGAACCCCCTTAGGAAGATGCTCTCTGGCTTTCAGAGTTGGTGGCAGATATCCAAGACAGTCTCCGGGACTGAGGGAGGAGTGCGAGTTACATTGGAACAGTGAGAGCCCAGTAGCTGGGCTGCCTTGGGGTCTGGATGGGATTCACACCTTCAAGTTGTGACCGAGGGTCCTAAGGTAGGAATTCAAACCCCCAGCCCCTGTTCAGGGTCCTAGAGATCTTCATCAGGGCTAATTCCCTGAGGGTCATACACACCTTCTTCTTCCACTTGACAACCACATAGCCTTGGAGTTCAGTGACCAGTCACAGCTTTGAAAGACTTATAGGAGCTGAGTCCAGGGCTCCTGCCATCCAGGGTTCTTTCTGTCACCCCAGGGCCTCATAGCAGTCATGGAGCCTCTTGGGGCAAGTTCTTCTGCAGGGCATGCCCTGTGCTTGCTGGAGGTGATCCTGAAATTCCTCAGTGCTGTGGGGATTCCCCAAACCCCAGACCCTTGCTGCTCTAATGCCATCATCAAAGTGCCTCTCTCAGGGACCACACCTTCACATTACAGGAAAATGCTGTGCTGCCCAGAGGACAGCCAAATGCTCTTTCCCCTCCCACCCAGCAGTGTCCCGCCGAGGTCCCCCAAGTGGCTCTTCTGCTGCTCTGGGGACTCAGCTGGGAGAGATGGCCTCTGAAATTCCGGGTCCTAATTCACCCTCTATCTTCACTACAGGCGGTGGTGGCGCCCGTCTGGACATGGCAGCTGGTCCCCACCCTCACCTGAAGAGGGCGCTCCCTTCTCTCCTGAACAGCTGCCCAGCACACAACTCTCCGAAGCAGGTACTCTTTTGAAAACAAGGAACAGAAGATATAAGTAACTGCATTTAAATTCCAGAAGGGTGGTAGGCCTCATCCTTCTCCTCCATGTCATTTACTGGGAATTGTGGTCATACGACAGGTCTTTAGCAGAGTCAGGCTCGGGATGGAGAAAAGTGTGTGGAAGTCTAGAGAAAGTCACATGTCCGGGGGTCAACCCACACCTACCAGATCGCAGAGGGTTTGCGGTGGGGAGGAACATGGCTTGGGCATCCAGCGGTTTCTGCTTCTCCAGTTGTCAGTCTTCAAGAGGTGAACTATGAATGTTTATTTCAATACAGCTACAATTTGTAATAGTAACATGTAATCTATGCTTAAAAAAATGAACTGAAGCCCTCTGAACCGTCAATATCACAGCAAAAGCAAAAGACCCACAACACTGCATGGGGCCTGTAGAACCTTTTCCACTGTGTAAGGTAGTTTCTGGAGTGTGGCAGAGGTCGGAGGAGGGAAAGAGCAGCAGAGAAAAACAGAGCAGGTGAGAGGCTAGAGGGTCAAGTCTTGGAAGTGACCAAGGTATCACTGACTCTGTGAACCTGGACTGGCTGGTTCTATAACTGACCCTGCAGTGCCTGTAATTTCTTCTCCCATGGCTGCTCCTGTTCTTGCAGCATCCCAGGTCCTCTGTCCTGAAGGGATGTTATGGTTGGCTGCTGAGCTTGTGGGGCAAAGCCACTGCCTATGAGATGGACTCTTTCTCTGTTCTGAAAGGTCTGTGTAGAAATGCACAGACACTGGGTAGCCTCTGGCCAGGTGGCGTGGAGAGTTTAAGGAGCAGCAGCCTAGCCTCTGAGGTGGCAAATGACAGCATTTCCATGGAGGCCTCTGGGGATGGTAGCTGTCATATTCTAGGGAGGTGTACTAGTCAGCTTTCTCATTGCTGGGGCACAATACCCAACACCCATAATTTAAAGGAGGAAAGTATTGATTTGGTTCATGGTTTTGGGGGACTCATTCCATGGTCAGCTAGTTCCAAGGCAGAAACTTCATGGCAGAAAGGCGTGGTGGAGCAAAGCTGCTTAGTTCATGGCAGCCAGGAAGCAGGGCAGGGGAACAGTGCCAGACAGGGAAGGGCAAGGAAGCAGATACGGTATCCAAGAACACACTTCTGTGACCCACCTAGGCACACCCAGCAGTGTGCTGTATCAATCCTAGGCTGGATTCCAAGCCAGTCATGCTGACACAATCAAGTTTAACCATCACAGGAGGAAACTTTCAGAGAGGATGATTCTTAATCTCTTCCCAACAGAGCAGGACAAGGTCATCCAGCTCGTGGCAAGAGAGTGGTATTTGGGAGGCACTTGTGGGGGACCTGTGAACCTCAGTTAGGGCCTTTCCTTCTCATCACAGATTTGGTGAATTGGATTTGCCTGGGCCTCCCAAGAGACCCTAGCAGGACTCTCTGGTCAGTCTGGCCCTCCCTCAGCCTCCAGTGGGCAAGACACTGGCTGTTTCTTCTGGCAGTGGAGGGAGGTAGGGGTCTGGGTTGGGGCCGAGACGGGCAAATGTTTCCCAAACTGGGAAGGGCCAATGGAACAGAGAGGTGTGAGGCTTCAGAAATAGATCAAACCACATGCAACTTGTGCCTCCAAAAGGGTCCCCCAGAAAAGTTAGCCCCAATAGTCAAGAAGGAGGTTCTCTGTTTCCTTTCTGTCTCTCTAAGGATGCCAAACTGGGAGGTCAGGGGTCTAGTCAAGCAGGGCCTGCTGTCCTGCTGAGGAGGTGGCACCCTGTCCTCTGTTCTTCATACCACTTGTGTTTTAGGCTGAGATAACAGGCGAATGCCACTGCACCCAGCTTATTTTGCCCATTTTCTTCTCCTTTTTATTAGTACGTGTTTGTGGTACATAATATGTACATTCATTGTGGGTAGTCGGTACATGAACATGATCCATCATAATTCTTTTTACATCTCGTTCCCCTTGTCTTCTCCCTACTCCTTCTATGACTCCCAGTCTTGGAGTATCACTCTGGTATAAAGAAGGATAAGTTGATTGCACCTTGAATCCATAATGTTAAGTGAAATAAATCAGATACATAAGCTTAAATTTTGTATGGTTTCTTTTATCTGAGTGATCCAAAGTATAAATACATTTAAGAGGCAAATAAAAGATAGACAATTCAAGAAACAGGGAGATAGATATTTTACCCATTTGAAAAACCATTTTCTAATTGCTAGCCTTGTTTTAAGCTTAGAGGGTCTCTGGAACTCACTGAAAAAGGATTCAGTATTTGATGAAAAGAAAACATAAAGGGCATAGAAACCACCAGTCTTACACAGACAGACCACATAGGATGTGGTTTTAACTTCCTCGCCTTCTGCTATTTTTGTTCTTAAAAATCTCACTTTTCTTTTCCCAGTGACTGATCAACATATAGATACGACAAAGCTCAGATGAAGATGAGTCTGGATAGAAATCCTGACGCTTGCCCAAACTAGCCCGGGTTCTGAGAGTAGTGCCTCCCTGCTTGTTTGTGGGGTGTGTTGATGGCCCTTTTATCTACCTGAACAGTGCCCTGGGGTGAGCCCAGCCCCCTACTTCATCTCATTTCATTGTCACTGAGGTGCAGCCTCCTCCCTAAATCATTCGTCACCAAAGCAACAGGACTCTTTCTCGCCATCCATCTCTGTCTGTCCTTGAGCAAGTCTCTCCTGTGGGGAAAAAGGTGCCCTGGATTTTCCTTGCTGGTTAGAACCACTCACTCAGGTGCTGCTCTGGGCCTGGGGGCTCCATCCAGCTTCCATCTCCCCAGGTGTGTGGGTGTTGGACAGGGGGCTCTGCACAAAGCCTGTAGCTCAGCCTGTCTTCTCAGGCAGAGGGAGGGGTGAAGCAGGAGGCTGCAACCATGGCAACAAGCAAAGATATCACATCCTGTGCAGCACCAAGCTGTCCAGACAGCACCCCCTTGGCCTCTGCTGTGTGATCGCCTTCTCCAGCAGGTGATCACCACCATCTTTGGTCAGCTCCGGGGCAAGTTTGGGCTGGGTTGGGGCACTGTGCCTGCTCCTGGCCCCAGCACGCTTTGCTCAGCCCCCTTGATTCCCGAATCCCTGGGTCTTCCTCCCTGCTCTTTTGTTTCCTGGGAGGAAAGTGTTTGCTTTTCCTCCTCTTTCCAAAAGTAGAATGGCTTTCAGACCTTGACTATAACCCCTAGTAAGAAATGTGTGCTCCATTGTGATCAAGTGTTTGTGTGTGTGACAAAAGGTGAATGAAATTATACTTTACTATGTAAAATGCAATCTCTTATTTTATGTTATATAGAATACATTTATATTATTTTCTCTTCTCTCATATTAAGAAATAGCTAGTCATACCCACTCAGTTGACACAAATCAAAAGAGGCTTCGTACTTGATATTTATAAATCACTGTGCTAATGAATGTGCCTCACTGAGCGGAGAGGATTCAGACTTGCACTGTGTGTTGCAGTTTTGCCTCTCAGTTAATGTGAACTTAAATGCATGACTATAGAAGGATACACCAATGTATCAGTGGATAGGCTTCTTCTAGCTTTAGGCTTCTAGCACGCAGCTTTGAAGAGATGAACTTAGCACTAGGAACTCTCCCTAGCACTTTACACGCCTGCCAGAGGCCCTGGGAGAGCACAGCCTGCTCCGGGGTCTGTGCTGTGCAGATGCTGTTCTTCCTCCACATACTTTGAGGATGCTGTGCTATTTGCTGATGTTTCTTTGTGACACATGAAATTCACATGCATGTACACATATACATGCAAATATGAGTGCAGAAACAAGGCACACGTGTACAGACATGGATATGTGTGCACAAGCATGTACATACAGGCATACCATAATCAAACCATTATACAATATTCCGTAACAGACTGTACAGTTAGTGATGTTTCCAATGTCTATGAAAAGTACAAAGTTTGGAAGTGCGGTGCAGAAAAAAAACTGTTATGTTAGCCATTCTTATCCTAACCACAAGAAGCTACCACTTCACATTTATTAGCCTGCAGATAATTTTATTTAAAAAGACAATAATAGATATTGGTGAGGATGTGGAGAAACGAGGCATTTTGCATAGCTGGCGCATTTGTAAAATGGTGTAGCTGCTTTCAGGATCGGTTTGACAGCTCCTTATAAAGTTAAGGTACAGTTACTACCCACTTACAAATTCCACTTCTGGGTATATCTTCAAGATAACTGAAAATAAATGTTCACACAAAAACTTAGATATGGTTTTCGTAGAAGTACCATTGATAATGGCCAGTGAAAATAACCCAAATGCCTGTTCCCGAGGGAACGGATAACAAAAATGTTTCTGCCTCTGCATACATATCCCTCATTTCTGTTCGTGTGACCAAATTTCTCCTTCTCAGGACACTGGTCAGAGTAAATTAAGATCCATCAGAGGCCCTTCTTTTAACTTAATCGCCTCTTTTAAAGAGAGAGAGGCCCAGTCTCCAAATACAGTCACATTCTGAAGGCCAGGAACTGGGGCTTCCACATGTGAACTTGGGTGACACAGCTAAGCCCATAACGTCCACAAGGCCAGGAAGTAGATTAGCAGTTTCTGGGTTCCCAGAGGAGGGAACAAGGAGCAACTGCCAATGATCACTGGGTTTCTTTGGAGCAAAGAGAGTGTTAAAAATTGATTGTGATGACAACGGCACAGCTCTGCCAAAGCACTAAAAAACACCCAATCACATACTTTAAAAGGGTGAATCTGGGTATATCAGCTATGTATATGCATTTTTTAGATATTCTGCTAACCTCAGGAAGAGACTAATACAGGGACCAGTGGAGAAAGACAAGGGAAAGTAAGGACAAAATCATGAACAAAACTGTCTGTTAAACTGTCTTTGGACCTGTGATGTTTGGCTCTCTTTTTTATAAGTTACAGCTCAGGAATCCTTTGGTAGGTTTCCAAGTGCCTTTGACCAACCACCTGACTGTGACCTTTCTCCCCTATCCAGTACCTCTCAGCCCTGTTACCCAGCTACAGAAACCCATAGTGCTGCTCCAACAGCAAAGCCAAGAATGAGAAAAAGAGCACTGGGAATGAGCCTGGGGCAGAGAAATTCCTGGCAACCAGAAACTGACAGGCTTGGTTGCATGAGCCCTCCCTTTTCTGAGAGTCTGGTGTCGCTGTGCTTGGAAAGACAATTTCCTCTCCAGTGGCAATGCAGGAGGCTTTAGACGATCTTATCCGGTTCATCATGTCCCTCCTTCTCACTAAAGCCTTTCTATTCCATAAAGCAATTGTTTTCATTCTGTGCCCTCAGCGAGCTTGGAAGATAGCCAAGTTGTGGCACTGGTGTCTGCAGGGCTCATGCAGGACTTGGTAAGATGGCACCACACTTTGGGGAAGGGTTTTCTACTTGCTTTTGTAATTAATTGCATTCAGAGTCAGTTGGTTCATTCACCTATGTTTTCCAGGTATGCAAGACAAGCTAAGCACCCCAGTTTTAGTCCCAGCCACAGGAACATTTAAGAGACATTATTAAATGTGTGGAATATAATGGTAAAAAGCATCAAACTCTGTAAAATTATCCCCATCCAAATTTTGATACCCATTTTTCTTGTGACATAGGATGTCATGAATCTGGAAAGATCACCTAAAAAGACCAATGGGAAGCAATTCCACGATAACCATCTTCATATACAAGAAGACCAAGAGAAGGCCATCCAACAGATCCAGTTGGGGCAGGTAGAAACTGGTGGTGTTACTGTGAACAAATGGGACTTGTAATGTCTTTGATGTTTTTCTTAAATGTAATGCTTTGGTTCATATTCTGGCAATATGGTCATGATTAGAAGCAGAAAATATCACTGTGCCCTATATTGAAATACCTAAGGCTAATCAGACCCACAGCTATCTTTTGTGGCGGAATGGCAAGGAATAAAAGAGAGTCAATTTTCAAGATACGCAGTGTGTACTGGGAGGAGACCTGCCTCTAGCTGCCAGACTTGAATAAAACTCCACGGTTGCTCAGCATTTATTGGTGAGAAGCACGTGTTTCATGGAACAGCAACTGTAGATGGGTGGATAAGGATTAAATTAATGAAAAACCAATTTTTCTCCACACCCAAATGCCTGTATATCGACAAAGACCCTCAGCAGATGCTGTTGTGCCTCAGGAGTGCCCTGGTTTCGGCATTCCACTATAGCCAGGAGGCACGCGGCTTTCTGCATACTGCCGTTTTCAAGGTAAGATAACACCCATCTCGAGACTGTGAGATCTGAGTTATGTAGCCTAGTCCACAACACTGAAAGTACATAGTTCTAGCAAATTAAAAGTTTCTTTGAACATGTAACAAAGTGTTTTTAAAAATTTAGCTTTCTTTTACATAAGTGTCCATGAAAAATATAATGCAGGTTTGGTCATTCAAGGCCACATAAAAGAATATGATAACGTGAAATCACCCAATAGCATAGAAAGTCTACCCACGTCCTGGAATTTAGTTCTTCCGGGCCTAGCGCCTGGTTCTGGCTCCCCCTGGTGGAAGAGAGAGGAAGTGGAGCATCGAGGGAGTGACCCTCTTAACCCAAACCCAGGCGCTCCCCTGGGCAACGTGAGCGTGCAGGACCTGGGACTCGCAGGCTGTGGGAGTCCTTAGGGGTCCTCTAATCCACTCTTTAGGTTTTTGTTTTTATTTTTTAATATGAAATTGGTGTTTGAACCCAGGGTCTTCTCGCTGAACTACACCTCTGGCCCCTTTTCACATTTTTATTTTGTGACAGGGTCTTACTAAGTTGCCCAGGTTGGGTGCAACCTTGCTATCCTCCTGCTTCAGCTCCCAAGAGTACTGGGATTACAGGCATGCACTACGAGGTCCAGCTCATCCTTGAGTTTTAAACTGAGAAACTTGATATCCAAAAAAAAAGAGGCTATGTCCTCACATGCCTTTTTGAGGCCCAGAGAAGATCCTCTTTTGTACTTCCTGGCTAAAGGACCCTGGGTGGAAGACTTCCCTGCCTTGGATTTCCAAGCTACAGGACCTTAGAGAGGACCACCCTCTGCTCCCATCAGAGATTCTCAGTTTATAGGACCCTAGGGAGGACCTCTTCCCTCAAGTCTCCTCAACTAACTGGACAGGGGGGGTGCAGTTCTGCAGCCTGGAGGAAGTGCTAGAGGGAGGTTGCAGTCCATCCTAAGCTTTCTGTTTTCTCATGGAGGATGGCCAAGCCTGAAGATGAAGTGTGCCAGGCACTCCTGAGACCAGCCTGTGCAACTTAGCAAGACTCTATCTCAAAATTAAATTTTAAAAAAGGGCTGGGGTTCAGCTCAGTAGTAGAGGGCTTTCCTTGTACACGTGAGGCCCTGGGCTCAATCCTCAGCCTTGCTCAGAAAAGGAGGGGCGTGTGAAGTATTTGCTGCAGACAGTGGGCAGGCACATGGCTGGAGGGACATGGGGCACTGCTGGGTTTGAGAAGGCCCAAGCGTGGTTGGGAATTATGGCTTGAGTGTGGAGGGCTGTGTCCTGGGCCCACTCCCTGTCTGGCACGGCCAGGGCAGCATCGCTCCACTTCTCCATGCTGGGATCTATTTGGTTCGAACCTCTGGGGCTGGGCTCACATCAGTGCTGTGAGGCAGCAGGCGGTGATGACAATGACAGAGGTGACATTACAGCCACCTGGCAAGGGTTACAGAATGTGCTGGTGATGTTGACAGGGAGTGATTACACACATGTACACATACATGCACACACACAATGGAATCACCTCAATACCTCTATCTTTGCTTGAAGCAGCAGACAGGTATAAGACTCAGGGCAAAGTTGCTAACTCTTCTATTGATTTTTGTATCTCACACATCCCACTCAATCTCCAATTAAGCAAAATAAATACAACTCCTTATTTTTGCTTATGGTTTAAAAGATACCAGGCAGATAGCCACAAATTTTTAAAAAGGATAAAAACTCAAAATGTCAATACTAGAAAAAGCATAGGGCCTGTCGCTCCTCAGCATTATACATTTGTCCTTACAATCCTGAATGTTACACACACACACACACACACACACACACACACACACACAGATGAAGACAGAAAAATCAATGACCAGACAAGAGGAGAGACTAGTACAGGAAACACGTTGTCTCTGAGGCTTCAGAATAGAGTACTATGCATTATTTGCTATCTTTTTGTCACTGTGACAAAATACTTAGGTTAAACAACAGAGGAAAGATGTATCTGGGCTCACAGTTTCAGAGGATTCAGTTTATTGTCGGTTGGCTCCATTGCTTTTATGCTCTTGGTGAGGCAGAACATCAAGGTAGAAGGGTATAGACAAGGGAAACTGCTCACTTCATGACAGCCAGGAAATAGAGAGAGTGAGGAAAGGCTGGGGAAGAGATGCATTGCTCCAAGTAGGACCCTCCTAACAGCCATTCAACTGTGAACTAATCAAGTGATTAATCCACTGATAAGTGTTTTACTCTTTTGATACAGTCATCTTCCAAAAGCCCCACCCTCTGACACATGAGGCTTTTAGGGGACATTTTTGGTCTAATTCATAAAAATATAAAATACATTTACTTTGAGGGGGGTAACAGGGATTGAACTCAGGTCCTTGCGCTTACAAGGCAGCCCACCGAACCGCTGAGCTAAATCCCTGGCCCTAAATACATTTACTTTTTACAATACAAGGAAAAAGTAAAGACCTAACCCATGATCTTAAATAGTTAGGAGAGAGAGGATTCCATTGCACACAGGAGAACATTCTGAGACAGGCAAAGCTTGCCTTCAGATGCAAAACTATCTCATTTTAAAAAGAAATTTAAATGAGTCACAGCTGTATTTACACTTCAATCTAGCAATCTCACTCATAGAAATCTAAGTGCTGCGTTAGTACAGGGACAAAATGACCCGAGCACAGTGTTATTAGTGGCAGCAATGTTTGTGATAACACAACACTGCAAACTACCAAAGTATTCATGCATGTGAGCTGGGCCGTGAAGCCACAAGAAGGGGATAAGAATCACTGTGCACTTGCAAGTTGAGATCTCTGAGTGTGTTAGCGGGGACGGCAAGGGACAGACAGAAAAATAGTGCGCCTGTCTGGTGGAGATCTATGTGAAGAAAAAGGAACACACATATCCATGTTTGCGAAGAGAACCAGATAAACCAGGAACTAATACAGAGAGTCACCTACTGGGGATATGTTAGGAAAGAACACAGTTGGATTGGAAGCCACCCTTGAATCATTAACCTTTTAATCCTCTTTTTAATCCTCCTTTTAAATCAAACAGGAAAAAAAAAACTGAAAATGAAAAACTGTAACAAGTGAACCTAACTGTATATCAAATTACCAATATAGCTACATGGAGAAAATAATCATTTCATGGGGTTTCAAAACATAACACTTTCATTTACTTCATTGTACTTGGTTCCTGAAATATGATCTAACTACAAAAGGCATTACAAAGAAATCTTAATTTAATAATTTTTGTCCTTAGTAATCATATGTACTAGTATTATTTTTTGAACTTATATATTATAGAGATAAGGTTTTTCTGTTTTGTTTTGTTTTGTTTGTTTTTTGTTTTTTGTTTTTTTTGGTACCAGGGATCGAATTCAGAATCTTGGCGATAAGTAATTTATTTTTTTGGAGATAAGTAATTATATTTATTTATTTGTTTGTTTGTTTATTTTGGTACCGGGGATCGAACTTGGATCCTTGCACTTGCAAGGCAGGTGGTGAAAACACTGAGCTAAATCCCCAGCCTGAGATAAGTAATTCTAATGTTGTAACAGACTAAGGATTTTAGTGTGAAAGAAAAAATACACAAAATTAAAGTACAAGTCGATTGAAGAATTTACAATGTTATATTTGCATTGAAAATAGTAATCTGAAGTCACATTTTATTTCTAACTTAGCCACCAAAAGGCCTAGAAGTTAAGCGCATCCACCTTCCCAGATCTGACCACTCCATGCTATCCCCACTGGAAAGGAGCAGTGCACAGTGGCAGCTGAGCTCCCCGCCCCTCCCCAGCCCTGCCTGCTCTTGGCTGTCTCTCTGTGCAGCCTTCCCACAGGGCTGCCTGTGTCCCCACTACCTGGCTCGCAGCTGTGCCAGGTGCTTCACTGTTGCCAACAGCATCTTAGCTGACATGGGGTGGGGAGCATTCTGGTGTTAAAACATACTGGAGAGACATGTCCTGGTGTGCCTTAGCCATCACTATGAACAGAACTTCCCCAGACTAGCTCACTGCTTAAAGAACATATGGTTATACTGGGTATAACTCTAGAGTAAGCAACTGAACATTTCCATTGAGTCAGTGGATTTATGGCAGTATACAAAGAATCAAAAACACTGCCCAGACCAGTAACCAGGAAATAAAGAAACAAAGAGCTATCCTTCTAAAGGACTCTGATATTACACACTGTTTGCATTTTTCATAGAACAGACCTTTCTGCTATTTAGACTGAGTGCTTTAAGAAAAAAATTACTACCCACTTTTTTTTTTAAATGCAGATTTGGGATTTAAGCCAGATCTTTCACATGGAGCTATACCTTCAGCCCCTTTTGCTACATTGCCTGGCTAGGCTCACATTTTCAATTCTCAGGGTGCTGGGTTTAGCCACCCAATTTTTTGAAGTTAGAAAAATGTTAATTTTGAGAGCTTGTTGGGAGGTTCTAGCAGGGGTTCTAGCTACTTGTATACCCGTGACAGAGGAAATGGTCCTCTTCTACCGAGCACGA